ATACCCAGAATTAAGCTTGCCTTTTCTACCAGATCGTAAGTTGGGAGTTGGGGGAACAGGCTAGATTTGGGGTTTGTTTTACTAAATTAACTTGTAACGCACCACACTCTTCAGATTCTTTCTACGATGAGCTGCTGCTGCCTTGTGCTTACTGGGAGGCCTAGAGGGCCAGAGGGGCCATTCCTTGTTTCTTGTCTACTCTCAGCTCTCAGCATGCCTGTGCCACATGGGTGGTTCTCTCTGTGTGCTCACCCCGGTTTGCGGGGGACTTTTCCAGTTTAAGCACAGAAAGTCCTGTGTCCCAGGAAACCCCTCAGTCCAGGACAGAACAGGATGCTTGGTCAACTGAGTATCTGAGGCTCCCAGGGATTCTAAACACTCATGCTAGGTAGGCCCCACTCAACTATTGACAATTTGTCAAAATTTCCATTCTTTTCTTCTTTGCTCTTGCTCATTATTGGGTGTGAGGTGTGTGCTGGACTTAGTATAGTTCCTAGTTTCTAGGTGCCCCTACTCCAGCCTCAGTCATAGGTGAGTCCTAAGGGGACAGGCCACTTTGGTGGGAAATTCTCAGCATTCCTGCACCGTATCCCACACTCTGCAGCCAAATGCTGGACTTAGTCAGGAGGGACCCTTAGTGATGCAGACCTCTTCTTTGTAGCTCTGCAGGCTTCTGTCCTGATTGGGTTTCCTGTCCTTTTCTTGAGGACAGACAGCTTCTGCGTCTACCCCACCATCAGCATCAGAGCATTAGTGTAACATTGCCTGAGACTGGGGCCATTTCCTGATGGCCTGCTAATGCTTGCTACTTGGCACAAGGCTGCTGGTGGGAGTTGGTGGATTTGCTGCCTGCTCCCCACCCACCCCCTTAGAAGAAATAGTTTTTGCTTCTACTTCTTTCTCAGTGACAATATAGCAGGAGATGGGGCAGTTTCCTGAATGCTCTCTTTTGTGGTTCTTTTATGCTTTAATCCCTCCCGTAGAGTCAGTGGACCTTTCCCTGGGTCTTAGAGAAGGAGGGTTTCCTATCCCTCTCCCAGAGGCTTGCAGCTTTTGCTTTCTGTAACAGAAAGGCCTGGAAGAGGGTGGGTGATATCGTTTGGCTGTGTCCCCACCCAAATCTCAACTTGAATTGTATCTTTCAGAATTCCCACGTGTTGTGGGAGGGACGTAATTGAATCACGGGGGCCAGTCTTTCCCGTGCTATTCTCATGATAGTGAATAATTCTCATTTTTCTCTTGCCACCACCATGTAAGAAATGCCTTTCACCTCCCACCATGATTCTGAGGCCTCCCGAGCCATGTATAACTGTGAGTCTAATTAAACCTCATTTTGTTCCCAGTTTCAGGTATGTCTTTATCAGCAGCATGAAAACGAACTAATACAGTAAATTGGTAGCAGTAGAGTGGAGTTGTTGCTGAAAAGATACCCAAAGATGTGGAAGTGACTTTGGAACCGAGTAACAGGCAGAGGTTGGAACAGTTTGGAGGGCTCAGAAGAAGACAGGAAAATGTGGGAAAGTTTGGAACCTCCTAGAAACTTGTTGAATGGCTTTGCCCAAAATGCTGATTGCAATACGGACAATAATGTCCAGGCTGGGGTGGTCTCAGATGGAGATGAGGAACTTGTTGGGAACTGGACTAAAGGTGACTCTTGTTATGTTTTAGCAAAGAGACTGGAGGCATTTTGCCCCTGCCCTGGAGATTTGTGGAACTTTGAACTTGAGAGGTGACTTGGATACTATTAAAGGCATTCAATTTTACAAAGGAAGCAGAGCATAAAAGTTTAGAAAATTTGCAGCCTGACAATGTGATAGAAAAGAAAAACCCATTTTCTGGGGAGATATTCAAGCTAGCTGCAGAAATTTTCATAAATAGCAAGGAGCCTAATGTTAATCCCCAAGACCACGGGGAAAATGTCTCCAGGCCATGTCACAGACCTTCATGGCAGCTTCTCCCATCACAGGCCTGGAGGCCCAGGAGGAAAAAGTGGCTTCATGGGCTGGGCCCAGGGTCCCCGTACTGTGTGCAGCCTAGGGACTTGGTGCCCTATGTTCCAGCCGTTGCAACCATGGCTGAAAGGGGCCAATGTACAGCTCAGGATGTGGCTTCAGAGGGTAAAAACTCCCAGCCTTGGCAGCTTCCATGTGATGTTGAGCCTGCAGCTGCACAGAAGCCAAGAACTGAAGTTTGGGAAGCTCTGCATAGGTTTCAGAAGATGTATGGAAACACCTGGATGCCCAGGCAAGTTTGCTGCAGGGGCGGGGCCCTCATGGAGAACGTCTGATAGGGCAGTGTGGAAGGGAAATGTGGGATCAAAGCCCCACACAAAGCCCCTAATGGGGCACTGCCTAGTGCAGCTGTGAGAAGAGGGCCACTGTTCTCCAGACCCCAGAATGGTAGATCCACCAACAGCTTGCACCGTGTGCCTGGAAAAGCCACAGACACTCAACACCAGCTCGTGAAGGCAGCTGGGAGGGAGGCTGCACCCTGCAAAACCACAGGGGTGTAGCTGCCCAAGACCATGGGAACCCACCTCTTGCATCATCGTTACCTGGATGCGAGACCTGGAGTCAATGGAGATCATTTTGGAGCTTTAAAATTTGACTGACCCGCTGGATTCTGGACTTGCATGGGCCCTGTAACCCCTTTGTTTTGGCTAATTTCTCCCAGTTGGAATGGTTGTATTTACCCAATACCTGTACCCACATTGTATCTAGGAAGTAACTAGCTTTCTTCTGATTTTACAGGCACATAGGTAGAAGGGACTTGCTTTGTCTCAGATGAGTCTTTGGACTGTGGACTTTGGGTTAATGCTGAAATGAATTAACACTTTGGGGGACTGTTGGGAAGGTATGATTGGTTTTGAAATGTGAGGACATGAGATTTGGAGGGTCCAGGGGTGGAATGATATGGTTTGGCGTGTCAGCACCTAAATCTCAACTTGAATTGTATCTCCCAGAATTCCCACATGTTGTGGGAGGGACCCAGGGGCAGGTAATTGAATCACGGGGGTTGATCTTTCCCATGTTATTCTCGTGATAGTGAATAAGTCTCACGAGATCTGATGGGTTTATCCGGGGTTTCCGCTTTTGCTTTTTCCTCATTTTTCTCTTGCCGCAGCCATGATTCTGAGGTCTCCTCAGCCATGTGGAACTGTAAGTTCAATTAAACCTCTTTTTATTCCCAGTTTCAGGTATGTCTTTATCAGCAGCATGAAAACGAACTAATACAGTGGGCTTTTGTGACTATGCACCACCAAAGAAGGACCCTCTCGGGTCTCCTACCCTGTCCCCAATCCACCTCATAAGCTCCAGGTGGAGGTCTGGGTAAAAGACCCCGCAAAAGACCCGGCAAAAGACCCAGCAAGCAGACTAAGGTGGCCAGGTCATCCCGGTTTGCCTAGGACTTTCCAGTTTGAGCACATAAAGTCGTGTTTCCCGGGAAACTCCTTATCCTGGGGCAGATCTGGATGCTTGGTCAGCCAGGTGTCTGTGTCTCCCAGGGATTCTAAACTCACTCTAGGTTCCACTCAGCTATCGAGAATTCATTGCAATTTCTGTTGTTTTCTTCCTTCCCACTCTTATGGCCATTACCCTCTTCCTTCCATACTCTGCTGAAAGTCAAACCATTTGTGTGTTTCCTTCGAAATTCAGTTCTTCTGGTTGCTCTCCTATCTCGGTTCATTAAAAGGCTCAAAAGTTATAATTTTATAGACTATCTGGCTTTTTCCCGTTTTTAGAGTAGAGGTGGTTATCTGGTGGCTTTCTACATCCTAAGTGGAAAAAAAAAAAAAAAAAACTCCTCATCCCCTTTGCTTCTAAATAATTGAGCTGCAGCATTAGAATGTTGCCCTTGTGGAAAGACATTACAAGAAGCTGCACAAAGTGACCCCTGCATTTACTGTAAAGATGCTCTCATGAACATAGTTCCCCACATCACACAGCATAGAAATGTATCATGAGTCTTAGTACCAGTAATAGTTGTGTTTCCCTGGTCAAGTTGTTCTCCTTTTATGAATGTTGTGGATTTAGCAACTAGTAATTTCCTTCTGTACTTTGAAGACTCAGGACCCAATTTATGTTTAGATTTAGCCACTGTACATGATCTTTCGGACAGCATTTTTGCATTTTAACTTTATCTCTGGCTTTATTTTATTACTCCTATTTTTAGTTCCCCTCACTTACTTATCTGTTGAGAGCTTATCCTGTTATAAACCACCAGAAAGGATTATTTTAATGAAATAGTATCTGAAAGGCAACTTGTAACAAATGAGGGCATTAATGAATTGACAAAATTTAATTGATTTTACGGTAATGCTTTCTAGTCAACACTGTAAAAATGCATCTCTAGAAGGAAGGATCCTTTGGGGGAGTGCATCTGGAGTAAAGGAAAACAAAGGCCTTGAAAAGAGGAACCCTGGCCGTTGCTTATTCCTCTGGATGCTCCCATCTCCCCATTGGCCTCAGCCGACTTGGATGCTGCCACACACTCTAAGAGCAATTACTTCACCTCCTTCTCACAATGTCACTGCCACGCAGAACTAAAACTATCTTTACGAGGTGAGCAGACAGAAATACAATTATTTATGGTGAAGCACAGCCATATGGCTTGTGTTTTTTAAAAGTCAGCTTCTTCTCTTATGAAATGGAGCTCTAACAAGTGTTTATTCTCTCTCTCAGAGGGACGTCTTTTCCTGGGAGGGAAAGAAGGGATCAAGCTTGTGCAGCCTGGACACAGGAAAGGGAGGAAGCCCACTCTGTCAGTGGGAGGCCCTTCTCTCCCAAGGGCCTTCCAATGCCAGCCCTCCCTTGGACCCTCCCTCATTACTCCCCTCCTTCCTCCACTTTCTCTGTTGTCCTCCTCCCAGCCAGCTTGCCATGTCGGAAGGGATATTGGCTATCCCTCCAATAAAGAATCTAGATTGTGACTGCATTGAGCGAAACCAAACCCTCAACCCAAAAAAGACAAGGCTAAAGAAACTAATACAGCTTGGTGCATACTTTAACCTTCTCCGATTATTTATTTTATTCATCCAAATCTCAAGCCAAGGTTGATGGGGAGAAATGAGGCACAATGCAAATAACACAGAACTTTTTAAGATCACAACTCCATGGACTTGCACAAAGAATGAACAAATCTCTTACTTAGAAATTAAATCCACTCAATGGCTTATTAAATCACCCAAGAATTCACGTTGCCACCTGGCTCTATGCCTCTTTCTTTCATCACAGGATAGTGTAGATGCTATAAAATAATCAGCATCCTTCTCCAGAAAAATTCACTTTACATTTGCCATTACCCTCCTTGTTTTCCCTGGGTGGACCTCAGCTCACAGCTTATGAGAGAACCAAAAGGCCAAGCGGGAAAGGAAATGAATCTTCATGAATCTATTCCTTCATGTGCCAAGAGCTTGCTCCCCTGCTTCTTAGTGAGATTGCCATGAGGTAACCACAAAAATTCAAGACAGCTATTATCAAACTTCAGGGTTGTAAAACCACGGATTTATTTATTTGTTCCTGAAAGGGTCTAAGCTGCCTAAATAGCTGTTTAATTGCGTATTTCTCATTAGAGCTCCGTTTTCCTTTTAGAATACAGTGGAGCCAGTGTTGTTCTTTATGAAAGTAAGCATTAGGGATAAAGGGGTTTATGACCTGAAACCTTTTTCCATGCTGAACACACATGTTGTCTTGACCACACCAATGAGGGAAAACTCTCTATTCTGTCAAATGGGTTTAGGAAAGGGCAGCGCCTGATGCTTCCACAGAGCGAGGGAAGCCTCACACACACACAGGCATGGGACAATAGGTGTACAAACTGAATTGTGCAACAGCACTTAAGCTCTGGCTATTTTTCTCCTGCATGAGTTCTGTAGAAATCCAGATGGCAGCCCTAAAGGCTGTGGCTTAAGCAGAAAAAAACATACTTCTGACCCTTAAAGGGACAAAATGAGATGGCTGCTCTGACCAGCTCTGTCCCAGCTGTGAGGAGGCCTTTGAACTCTGTGGGTCTCAATGTCACTACCTATCATATGAAGTGGTCGGAATAGCTGATGTCTGAGGTCTGCTTCAGCTCTTTAAGTCTAAATTCTGAAAAACAAGCAAAACTCAACATTTTCTTCAAGGTTGGCAGGAAAACGTCTCTTCCGTGAAAGCTTCAGCAAGACCAAGAGAGAGTATCTTGTGAGCTAGGACACTGTTAAGACTATTTTAACCAAAAAACACTCCATGGAAACCTCAATTAACTATAATTTTGTTGCACTCTATTTTTAAAAGTGGGAAGAAATATGTTTAGAGATGAGCACACGCTCAGACCTTTACTGTATTTAATCCACATACATATCCTAGCCCTAAACAATGACAAACTGTCATTGAACACAACAGCCCTAGAACACTGAGAATACCTGAATTATCAAGGGAAGGTTTCAGCTTTCATAGAGTTCACGCTACCCTGCCCTATATTCAAATGAAGAAGTTCCACAATCATGCTAACTTGAAAGGTCCACCATCAGGCAACAGGACTGGGGTCCCCCCAATATGTTAATTACCTAATTAAGTCAAGGTTAGACTAAATACTATTTTAGAAAGCGCCCTCTTGTGGCAAAAAAATGAAATTGCCAAATGGCAGTTTTGTTCTGAGACTGTGAGTACTGCCATTTATTGTACACTTATTTCATCTCAAGGATCGGCCTGGATGTTTTACATGTTAGTAAAATAAAGGACTTAGGCAAGGTAGTTTTCAATGTCATGGAGAGAACTGGAAGTCTTTTGTGTCTCAGAGCTCAAGCTACACCTGAAGATTTATTTCACCAAGTGTATTCATTCTCCCTGTGTATTCCAGGAGTGGCATCTATCCTCAGGACATTTTCCTGCACGTTTATTGTACTTCCTTGTAGTTCTGAACTGTGGCTGAGAGGCTCTATACGTCATACCTCTTTATTTCCAGCACACAGCCCCTAATTTCATGAAGAGAGAAGAGAAGAAAGGAAACGACACTACAGACAGGGTGAATGTGAACGGGGGAAGGAGGGACAGAGAAGCACACCTCAATATCTTGTGAAAATCTCCAGAAGTCCCAGGATATTTTAATTCAAACAAAATTACTTAACATCCATGACTTTTAAGGTACTTAATGAACAACAACATTTATTTATATGATTGCAATCTGTATTTTTCAGTAATCAACATCATCCTCAGACCTTCCAAGTTTCCTATGTGACTTATATAGTGAGTTGCTATACTTAATACCACTGGTGCTCATTTCTCAAAACAGTTTGCTAAATATTGACAATGCATTCCACAAACACAGGCCTGAGAAGACAAATATTTCCATATATTCCAATTACAAGCATTCGGCCCCTTCCTTAGAGAGTCCATATCTCAGCACCCATGCCGGGGTGACCGCTTCACAAGAGTTTGCAAACTCAAGTGCTTACTAGCTACGTAGTTCCAGTTCTGGTGTGGAAATGCGGGCTCTGTATGCTCAGATCCTCCAACTTTTTAAATGAAATTAGAATGCCAGAGTTTTATGAAGGAATCTCTTAATTTTTAAGTTTTTGAAACTTTGTAAAAAACAAAAAAATGTCTGAGGCAAACAAAACAGGTTTTCTGCCCAGATGTGTGCAACTTTCAGCCTCTGCCTGCAGCTCATCTGAGGGAGGCGTTCAAGCTGCCCCTAGGAGACACCTTCTTGAACAGGTTCTGAGAACTACAATGAAGAAGTTCCAGGAAAGGAAAGTTGCTTGGGGCTTCTGCTGTACTTCACATCATTGTGGACATCTGGTGAAGGCAAGCAGCATGTAACCTCATCATTAACTCTTTTTTTTTTACACTTTTTTTTTTTTTTTTTTTTTTTTTTTTTTTGATATTGCCACCAGTTTCCAAGAACATGAGAGTTTGCAATGTCTATTGTAAAACTGTTCTCTATCCTCTTAGTAGCCATCCAGGATCATGCTGTTCTCTACTCTCCCAGCAGCCATCCAGGGTCAGGCCTTTCTCTTTGTGGTTATTAAAACCTGGCCTTCAAGAATAGCCATACCAGTTTTCCAGGGATTGTGAAATCTTCTGGAAAACAGAGGCACTCATCAACTAAGACACTGCACACATTTGAAATGAGGTCAATGCATCAGTATCTTTTCAGCACTAGGAGGAGAGGGCTCCTGTATTCAAGGTCTACCTAATAATTTCTCATCTTTCCTAATTAACCAAGGAAAAGGAAGACGTGACTGGGGTTTTCATTTGGGAGTGGGTTTGCTCTGGGTCTGTGTGGCTTCAGAGTTTAAATCTCTGCTACTCTGTATGCGTACAAAATGCATACCTTTAATAAGGTCTATAAGCACTGCCTTCAAGCCAAAAATTCTTGATTACAGAGTTGTCCTACATTGACAGGGAGTGGGTATGAAGCCACGTGTACTTGGATTGCCCAGTGAAAGAAATAGGAGAAGTTTGTACTTTCTCAGAGCAATACCTAAGAAGCAACCGTTGCCATTTGGAAAAGTGGCTTTTTGAAGCTTCAGTTGGAGATCAGGATAGGGGTCCCTGGAAGGGTAGGAGTAAACTCTAAGCAGGCACCACTCAGAATCCCCAGGCCAGCTGGCAGAACGCCAGGAGACCTACTATTATATATGCACATACATATATATATATGGAGGACTATTATATCATGGAAATTACAGTTTCAGCAGCTTGACAGTTTTCATCAGCGTTATGGGAGCTTTGCTCCTTTTTAATTTGGTTTCTTTAAAAGATGAATGGAATAAGGGCTTTCCGAGATTTGGGGTAGTCCTCAAACATCTTGAGGTAGAACCTAAAAGACAAGAAAGGAATCATTGTACATATAATGGGGCAGTGGCTGACAGCTGAGGTTTGCTGTTAACAAATCTTTGTTACAAGTCAACCTACAGTTATCTCGAGTCTGACTATTTCGATAGTCATTTATGATTCTTATTTCTCCTTCCCACAGCCTATTTCTTATAAATGTTGAAGCTTCTTTTGCTGGGAAATGAAAAGTAATAGGCAGAGGGTAGTGGTGATGGTTGTGCAACATTTTGAATGTACCTAATGCCACTGAATTTTACACTTAAAAATGCCTAAAGTGGTAAAATTTTTGTTATGTATATTCTACTAGAAAAAAAAAATGTATCCGGAAGGAAGTACTTATTTGGATTCAGCTGGGAAATACAGGGAACCAAAGACTATGGGCAAAGAGAACCAGCAATGTTCCCAGGAAAATGTCCTTTCATGAGGCCTGGGAATGCTAGCAAAATATCACCATGTATCATGAGTTGAATTCTGTCTCGTCAAAAGATATGTTAAAGTCCTAACTCCCAGTATCTGAAAGGGTAATTTTATTTTTCTGGAACTAGGACCATTGCAGATAAAATTAATTAAGATGAGGTCATACTGGAGCAGGGTATGCCCTTAATCCAATATGACTGTGTCCTAAAAAGAAGAGGAGAAAAGACAAAGAGACAGAGACAGAGACACACGGGAGAGAAGGTCATGTGAAGACGAAGGCAGAGATCAGTGATGTAGCTATAAGCCACAGAACATCAAGGGTTGTCGGCCACCATTAGAAGCTAACAAGAGGCAAGGAAGAATTCTTCCCTAGAGCCATCTTGGGGGCATGGCCCTGCCTACGCCTCGATTTCAAACTTCTAGCCTCCAGAACTATGAAAGGACAAATCTGTGTTGTTTTAAGCCTCCCAGTTTGTGGTCATGTGTTGCAGCAGCCACAGGAGACAAATGCATCTTATAAGAATCCTTTCTCCTTAAGTTGCCAGGCTGTCCTCCTAACTAGTTGACACTGGCAGTCCTCAAGGCATAATCAAGATGATACACTCTGTTAAAGTACCTTAGTTTGAATTAGGGGGCAAATAATAAGTTACAAAAGGTGACTAGTTTTCGGTACTGTGATTTGAGAAGGCTGGTGGGCTGCCTCCGCCAGTGCTGCCTCTGCTGTGAGTGCCTGGCTTTGTTTTATAGCAGCCTTCACAAAGTCCTGTTAGCCTATTAAAAACTATGCCTTCTGGCCCTTCTCTGGGAGGTATGACATCACAGAATGAGGCCTCAGTTTGGGTTTTATTGTTGCAGCAACTGGAAACGTCTGGTGGAATTACAGCCCCTCTCCTAACCAAGCACGGTAGAGTCCACGCTTCCCAGGGGCCCTCCAAGGGCCCTCCAAGTGATGGGCCCTCCATCACTCAGGGGCTGAGTGATGCCTTCTCTTCTCCCCTGCTTGCTCTGCCTCTGGTGGGCTGCAGACCCAGCCTGAAATGGTAAGAACTGTTATGACTCTCTCATGGGCTAGGAACCCTCTGCCACCTTTCCTCACAGAGTCTAGGAGGTGGTAGGAATAGGTCATGAGCTGTTGCTTCATTTCAGAACGTTGTCCTCGAACAATTCTACTCAGAAAAAAAGGAACTCATTCTTAGTTAAATCTTCAAAACTAAGCATTGAGTCATAACCCCAGGGTCCTGCTTCCAAGACCATTCATTCCCTGTTTGAGTATCCGTAGTCTCCAGTAATTATAGGCTTTCTCTTTCCACAAAAGCCATTTTAGGGAAAGGATCTGAAATTTACACTTGGTAATTTAAAGCCTGTTAACAACCTAATATATTACCTTTCACTTCCAGCCATACTTTTAGTGAATTCTTTTGTCCCCACTCCACCCTAGGTTAGTGAAGCTTTAGGCCAGACCTTCAGAGGGAGGGTTCTGAAACACCTGCAATTCCTGGCATTTCCCAGCAGATGGGGCAGTCCTAAGATTACCCCATACATGAGAGTTCTTGTCCTACCTTCCTCGGAAGCCAGGGTTGGCCTTGGTTATGATTTATAGAAGGTGGGTGTCAGGGAAGGAAGGCAGTACCAAAATAAACCCTGGCATTGCAGAGATTCCAGGGGAAATAATCCTTCTGGAGTGCCAGGGCTCTGTGATTACCTGAACTGTTAGCACCAAATCTTGTAGCTAAAAATAGCAGCCACATAGTCACCAAAATAGTACTTTTTCCCAGTGGCTCTCTAGCCTGCTCTGCCTCAGAACATCTGTGGAGGCCAGGCGCGGTGGCTTATGCCTGTAATCCCAGCACTTTGGGAGGCCGAGGCGGGCGGATCACTTGAGGTCAGGAGTTCAAGGCCAGCCTGGCTAACATGGTGAAACCCTGTCTCTACTAAAAACACAAAAAGTTAGCTGGGCATGGTGGTGGGCCTGTAGTCTCAGCTATTTGGGAGGCTGAGGTGGGAGAATCACTTGAACCTGGGAGGTGGAGGCTGCAGTGAGGCAAGATCGCCCCATTTCACTTCAGCCTGGGCAACAGTGAGACTCTGACTCAAAAATAAATAAATAAATAAATAACTATCTGTGGAGCTTTGGAAAGTGCTGGCCATGGTCCTACCTATGGCACACATTTCCAGAAATGTGGTGGGAGGGGATGAAATTGAAGCATGGAAATGGAAGCAGCTTCTTCTGCTTCTTGAGGCTTTTTCTAACCATCTCCAGGTAAGCCTGCCTGGTGGGCACAGAGCCGGGGTCAGCTAACTCATGTGGGTGCAAGGCACTTCTGGCTGGACAGCCTTCTTCAACAAGACAGGCACAGGACCTTCCCGGCCATCACCTCAGTTTACATGGACTTATGTTTGTTCTTAAAAAAAATTTTATTACTGCTACTCTCATCCAGCTAACTTCCAACTTCAATACAAGCCCAGTAAGTCAGAATATGCTAACCCAGATTATTGTATCAACCTTCCCTTAAAAAGATAAATATCTTTGGTTTCTAAATCTTCTTCTGCAGGTTAAAAGCCTGTTTGGAGAAGAAGAAAACTACATGAATGCCACCGCTTTTATTGAAAAGTTTACCTATGGTGGTGAAAAGCTCGCAGCCCAAGGAAACAAACCGAGAAAAATGCAAATGCAAGTGCTGGGAGGGACCAAGTGGCCAGCGAATAGCCGATCCATTCAATGATCTCACCGAGGAAATTGGCTCCAGAAACATATGTAAACAAGCCACCTGCATGCAGAAGAATCAGAAGGTCAATCATTGCAACTGAATCATTGTGACATTAAACCCATCTGTGTTGTTCCAAAATACACAAAGGCAGCAAGAACAAATGTGGGGCTGGAGACTCCCTCCATAGTCATAGGAGTCTGGTGGAATCCTCTTGAGGAGAAGGGGAAACAAAGCAACAACAGCCTGTTGCCTGGAGAACATTCTGGAGTCACGAAGAGTGGCCTCAACTGCTGAAGAGGCTCTATCCAAATCTCTAACAACTGCTGGACCACTAACTTTGGGTAGGACAAGGGAGAGGTGTAGGAGGTCTGGCTTTTGTTTCATTCTATTAAGGAAGGTTTTGGGGCCACTTCTTACCTCCCCATTCCTTTCCTGGATACCCACACTTTCACATTCACAGTCCCAAAATGTGAAACTGCACACTACATTAAAATAATAAAAATCTGAACTTACGGGAGAAGGAATTTAGATTCTCTTATGGGATTTGCCCCTCCCCACCCTTCTGCAAAGCACTCTCCTCTGTTCATGTTTAAAGTAGAGAGTAGGAGCTGCAGGTATTTGTCCTGCTGGAGGCTGGTGAAGTCGGCTTCTTGATTTTAAATGTTTCATTTTCTATCCAACCAGGTATTTCTTCTCTCAGGACTGTATCTAGAAATCAGCATATTTCTAATGATATTAAATATATCCACACTCAAATTTTATTACCCACATTAAACTGGGGATGTTTAAACCAAAACAAGTTTGTTCTTTCTATAGTTATATAAAAATATTTTGTGTTTAAATCATTCTCTATTATAATTCAAAAGTTGGAAACTAATCTTGGCAACTGGTTTTTAAGCACTTTCTCTGCTCTTCTTTATTTATCTAGTTATGGAGTGAATGTTTTTAAAATCAAGGCCTCTTAGAGTTGAATCTTTCTTGAAGATGAGATTGCATCAGTGGTTCCCAACCTGTGATTCTCTAGGACCTGGGAGGAACCAGAGATCTAATGCAAAGGGCCTATAAATTGTCTACGAATACAGTAAATGGCACATCTTAACCTACTAAATTATTTTTGTTTGATGTAGATACTGTTAGGATATTAACAACATTCAAATTCATTTGAATATGTTACTGAATTCATAGTAACTTTTTTTTTTAAATTTATTTATTATTATTAAACTTCAAGTTGTAGGGTACATGTGCACAACGTGCAGGTTTGCTACATATGTATACTTGTGCCATGTTGGTGTGCTGCACCCATCAACTCGTCATTTACATCAGGTATAACTCCCAATGCAATCCCTCCCCCCTCCCCCCTCCCCATGATAGGCCCTGGTGTGTGATGTTCCCCTTCCCGAGTCCAAGTGATCTCATTGTTCAGTTCCCACCTACGAGTGAGAACATGCGGTGTTTGGTTTTCTGTTCTTGTGATAGTTTGCTAAGAATGATGGTTTCCAGCTGCATCCATGTCCCTACAAAGGACACAAACTCATCCTTTTTTATGGCTGCATAGTATTCCATGGTGTATATGTGCCACATTTTCTTAATCCAATCTGTCACTGATGGACATTTGGGTTGATTCCAAGTCTTTGCTATTGTGAATAGTGCTGCAATAAACATACGTGTGCATGTGTCTTTATAGCAGCATAATTTATAATCCTTTGGGTATATACCCAGTAATGGGATGGCTGGGTCATATGGTACATCTAGTTCTAGATCCTTGAGGAATCGCCATACTGTTTTCCATAATGGTTGAACTAGTTTACACTCCCACCAACAGTGTAAAAGTGTTCCTATTTCTCCACATCCTCTCCAGCACCTGTTGTTTCCTGACTTTTGAATGATCGCCATTCTAACTGGTGTGAGATGGTATCTCATTGTGGTTTTGATTTGCATTTCTCTGATGGCCAGTGATGATGAGCATTTTTTCATGTGTCTGTTGGCTGTATGAATGTCTTCTTTTGAGAAATGTCTGTTCATATCCTTTGCCCACTTTTGGATGGGGTTGTTTGTTTTTTTCTTGTAAATTTGTTTGAGTTCTTTGTAGGTTCTGGATATTAGCCCTTTGTCAGATGAGTAGATTGCAAAAATTTTCTCCCATTCTGTAGGTTGCCTGCTCACTCTGATGGTAGTTTCTTTTGCTGTGCAGAAGCTCTTTAGTTTGATGAGATCCCATTTGTCAATTTTGGCTTTTGCTGCCGTTGCTTTTGGTGTTTTAGACATGAAGTCTTTGCCCATGCCTATGTCCTGAATGGTACTACCTAGGTTTTCCTCTAGGATTTTTATGGTATTAGGTCTAACATTTAAGTCTCTAATCCATCTTGAATTAATTTTCGTATAAGGAGTAAGGAAAGGATCCAGTTTCAGCTTTCTACTTATGGCTAGCCAGTTTTCCCAGCACCATTTATTAAATAGGGAATCCTTTCCCCATTTCTTGTTTCTCTCAGGTTTGTCAAAGATCAGATGGCTGTAGATGTGTGGTATTATTTCTGAGGACTCTGTTCTGTTCCATTGGTCTATATCTCTGTTTTGGTACCAGTACCATGCTGTTTTGGTTACTGTAGCCTTGTAGTATAGTTTGAAGTCAGGTAGCGTGATGCCTCCAGCTTTGTTCTTTTGACTTAGGATTGTCTTGGAGATGCGGGCTCTTTTTTGGTTCCATATGAACTTTAAAGCAGTTTTTTCCAATTCTGTGAAGAAGCTCATTGGTAGCTTGATGGGGATGGCATTGAATCTATAAATTACCTTGGGCAATATGGCCATTTTCACGATATTGATTCTTCCTATCCATGAGCATGGTATGTTCTTCCATTTGTTTGTGTCCTCTTTGATTTCACCGAGCAGTGGTTTGTAGTTCTCCTTGAAGAGGTCCTTTACATCCCTTGTAAGTTGGATTCCTAGGTATTTTATTCTCTTTGAAGCAATTGTGAATGGAAATTCATTCATGATTTGGCTCTCTGTTTGACTGTCACTGGTGTATAAGAATGCTTGCGATTTTTGCACATTAATTTTGTATCCTGAGACTTTGCTGAAGTTGCTGATCAGCTTAAGGAGATTTTGGGCTGAGACAATGGGGTTTTCTAAATATACAATCATGTCGTCTGCAAACAGGGACAATTTGACTTCTTCTTTTCCTAACTGAATCCCCTTGATTTCTTTCTCTTGCCTGATTGCCCTAGCCAGAACTTCCAACACTATGTTGAATAGGAGTGGTGAGAGAGGGCATCCCTGTCTTGTGCCAGTTTTCAAAGGGAATTTTTCCAGTTTTTTCCCATTCAGTATGATATTGGCTGTGGGTTTGTCATAAATAGCTCTTATTATTTTGAGGTACGTTCCATCAATACCGAATTTATTGAGCGTTTTTAGCATGAATTCATAGTAACTTTGACATCAATGACTATTAATGTGCACTAACATCATGTCATAATTGAGGAAATTTTTTGATACAAATAAAGGGTTGTATTTACATCAAAAAGGGTAGAAGCCAAGGACCTACACAAATACCCATCTAAATCTGTTGAAGGATGACTTGGACTGATTCATTCCCATCTGCATATATTTGTCCTTCTCATACCCTGGTTTCTTTGGAACAGTTAGGATTACAAACATGCTCACCTTTATCTCCAAAAATGCACTTGTGCTTGTAAGATCTCCCATCCTAAGTTTTTATTAAGTAAATATAGTTCTCTACACCTTTAAAAGTATATACAAGTGGCAGGAAATACACAAGTTCTAGCCTTAACTAGAACAAGATAAGTCTAGATCAATTGGAGGGGACACATTTATTGGCCAAGCATTCAGCATCATTTGCAAACCTAGAAAGGATCAGCCCTCTGTACATGACAATCTTACCTGCCCTCTGTACATGACAATCTTACCTACTGCAATGAGGTTGTAGGTAGCCAATTCCAACCCTACTCAAATCTCCCACTCTCTCCCACTTCCAGGTATTGTGGTCTCGCACTTTACTGAGGGCCCTGGTAGCTCTCTTGAGCTTCTGGGTTCAGGTCAGAAATGCAGACGTACTGTGATGGGACTGGGTATGCAGGGGAAGTCAAGAGCAAGTTGAGAGGTATTGTATCATCTGTGCCCTCACCGTCCCCTCTCCATCTGCTACCATAGCATCGTCCCTGGGGCAGGCTCAAGGGAAGAGTGAGAGTCTGGGGGCAGGGGAGACATTACCTTGTGGAATCCTGTAGGTGATTTCTCCAGGCTTCCTGAGCTGGCGCAATATATAGTCACTATGGATGTTGACTCCCATTCCCAAAATAAATAAGAAGACACCTTGACAAAGAAGAGAGAAAGGAGAAATGTTTTAAAAAAATGTGTCCAGATTTTGGTGCTTTATTCACAAGCTAAGCTAAAATGAAAGGAGGGACATTTAATTCCTAAAAATGAAGGGAAGGGCATTTAATTTCTAAATCTAAGAATGGTCCTAAGATACGGCAGAAAGTGGGGAGGGCAATGAGTCCTGGTCCTGAATGGGGAGCACTGGGTGTGCTGTTTCCTAGACTCAGGCTGAAAGTGCACAGTGGCACCACCGATGGAGACAGGTCGGAAAAGAGAGGACAGCAGGAGGCAGCACCATTGTCCAGTATTTAAATACATAAACAAATAAATGAACGGATCATAATAGTAAGCCTTTAGCTCATTCACAAAGAGTCAAATCGAGGTTGCATATCTCAACAGCCAATTCCAGCCCCTTCTCTTTTCCATCTCCCACTACAGAGGCTGAATTGAGAAAGGTGGTCACATGAGCCAGTTCCACCAATAAAATGTAAAGTGAAGTCTTGGTGGGGGGACTTCCTTGGAAATCGTTTGCTTTTCTGATAAAAGATGCAGGCAAGACCGATGCCCCTACTTCCTCCTTCTTCCTGTCTTGATTGCCAGATGTAATGCCTTGAGCTACAGGCAACATCTTGCAACCATGAAGTGACTAACAAGAGGACCACAGGTAAACATGCTAAGAATAGGGGAGACAGAAAGTGCCTGAGTTATTAATGGTGTCGGTAAGCAACCACAGGAATGCAGAAGCCACCTACTTCGACATTTGTTGTTATGTAAGAACTATGAATTCTGAATTATTCCAGTCACTATTATTTGGTTTTCTGAGCGCATTCCTGACTGAAACACCCACTCTCATAAAAATAACGTGAGCTAGTTTGGAGGTGTGGCCACTAACAAACTGACTTCCACCACTAGCAGTTCACACCCACACACCCACACATACACATTCTGACATTAAAAGTAGCATACTACACATACTGTTCACATCTTTATTTGTTTTACTCAGCCGCATATCCCGGAGGTGTCTCCACGTACACTATCCACTGGTACAGAAAGGGCCCTGTTCTGAGGTGAGGAGAGCCAGGATCGGGGATGCTAGTTCCTGCATCCCAAAGGGTATTACTACAGCCCAGAAACACTCACCATCCCACACAAAGGCCCAACCCAACCTCTCAGCAAAGCACATTAGTGCTTTTCAAAATACGTCAGGCAAAAAGCAAGAATAGTTTAGTTAAAACAATCAGGTCTGTTCTCACCTTATTTGATACAGTACAAAACAAGGATTTTCCACCTTGTCTAGTCAAACGATCATTGGTCTGGAAGAAAGGGTATCTGGGGAGGGATGGCAGGGGAGTGGGGAAGGAAGGGGGACAGCACACACAGCAGTGTCTTCAACTATTTTAGATTGGGTGGTCAGGGAAAGTCCCTTTGAGGAGGTGCAAATTGGTGGTGAACTAAATAAAGTGAGGAATCAACCCCCATGAATACATGGGGGCAAAGCCTTCTAGGCCAAGCTTGTCCAGCCCGCAGCCCAGGACAGTTTTGGATGTGGCCCAACACAAATTCGTACACTTTCTTAAAACATTATGAAATTTCTTTTTAGCTCATCAGCTATCATTGGTGTTAGTGTATTACATGTGTAGCCCGAGGCAATTCTTCTTATGGAAGAATGTATCCCAGGGAAGCCAAAAGACTGGACACCCCTGCACTAGGCAGAGGGAACAGCCCTACACAAAAACACTGCGGCCGGACAAGCTTGACAGCTTGTGGCAAAGCAGGAAGGCCACTGGCACTGGAGCACAGAAAAGGAGGTGCAGCGAGCCAGGAAAAGAGGTTGGGAAATTGGAAACACCAAGAACATTTAGAATTTAAAGGCAGTGGGAAAGAATTTGTATTTTGAGAGTAAAGGAAATCCACTGGAGAGTTTTGCAATGGGAAATGGCATGATATGTGTTTAAACAATCTCTCTGGCTACCATATAGAGAAAAGACCAGGGTAGGGGTGAGGGAGAGGAAGATGGGATCATTAGCAGGTTATTGCAGTAGGGAGAGGCCATGGCGATGTAGACTGTGGGAAGAGTTGTTAACGGGGAGTAGGTGAGAAGTGGCTAGATTCACTTACCCAAGCAAAACCGTATGTCTGTGTACCACCCATCAGGGTATTCAGCACAGTAAATCAGATAGTAGCTTTGAAGGAATCCATTTCCAGCGCAGAAGGCAATGCCTCTGAAAATGAGTACAGCTGGATAAGGCCTCCCTCGATTGAGCAGTGAGTACACAAATGTCCTGGGACACATGGGGAGGAAAGGTTAGGATTCACTGTTAAAAAAGAACATGGTCTCATCCCCACCTCTTTCTTAAGCTCACACCAGAAGGTACAAAGACCAGACTCTGCCATTTCGCCTTAACCCAATACAAATTATCTTCTCCAGGAGGATGTGTATCACAGGCCAAAATAATTCCATACCTGAAAAGTACAACCACTAAGAAATAATCAACAACATAGAATACATAAATAATTTGCATAATAAATAATGAATAACATGTACCATGTTGGTACATATACCATCTTGTACATGTACCATGTACATAATTCCACAAAGTGGAATTACCATGACAGAATAACAATTTTAAATAAGTACAATAAATATCCTTAAAGAAATGTTTCCTTCAAAGCAGAAAAAAATACTCACTTGAAAAAGAACTAAATTAAAGTAATTTGTCAAAAATTATAAAGCCTATTAGTGATAGAGTAAGAGCAAGATCTAGGTCTTCTGATAATCCCAGTTTTCTTTTTAATTAATTCCTTTCTAGTTACTCCAGAATTGGCATTTTCAAAAAGAGGTACTGTCACTGTATGCGAATGAGTGACAGACTCAAAAAAGAGAATCCATAGTTAAGTAAGTTTGGGACCTATAACATCAGACAAGACCTAATATTTACTCATTGTGGGATTTCTTCAAGCCACGGCATGCTAAGGACATGATGACTCTCTGAGAAGGAACCCCTAGTTTGGCACACTCATCACAGAGCTGGAGCTCCACTCCAGAAAACACTTTCCTAAGCAGGGCAGATAATCCTATGTAGACAATTGGGTCCTGAAGCTTTGAAAACTGATATTTGATTCTGTAAATTTTATATTCATTTTTCTTTCTCTGTCTCTTCCACACAAACACACACACATATGCACGCACACACACATGCACAAATGCACACGCACACGCTCATGCTAGACAACCACACACATCTCCAGAGCATTCATCTATCTTTTGCAGACAAGGAAGACCAGACAAGATCTGCAGATTTCACAGATAATCACAGTTGCATTTTGGATAGAAACACCTCTCCTTCAAAGTCTGGGAGGTTTGTCTTAGATCTCCTTCTCAAAAACAGGAAGTCTAAGAAATGCCCTGGGCTTCATGTCAGGGACGTGGGTCACCATTTTTTTGTACCTAGATCATATGTGAGCGTTGCCTCCTAAAATTGTTGTGAGGATGAAATTATCTAATTTGATGCTTCCTATGAAGAAGCATATTTTAAACTATGGAGTAACTGGCAAAAGTGTGCAGACAGGTGTTGCACTATGTATGAGTCAATTTATTTATTTTATTTATTTTTTTTTTGAGATAGAGTCTCATTCTGTTGCTCAGGCTGGAGTGCAGTGGGGTGATCTCGGCTCACTGCAACCTCCACCTCCAGGGTTCAAGCAATTCTCCTGCCTCAACCTCCCAAGCAGCTGGGACTACAGGTGCCCGCCACCACACCCAGCTAATTTTTGTATTTTTAGTAGAGATGGAGTCTCACCATATTGGCCAGGCTGGTGTGGAACTCTTGACCTTGTGATGCACCTGCTTTGGCCTCCCAAAACACTGGGATTACAAGCATGAGCCGCCGTGCCCAGCTGAGCCAAATTTTATAAACATAAAACATCAAGGTTGTATTGAAGACCTGCACTTTCCCCCTTGGCAACAGCAATTTCACATCTTTCCTCTTGGCTTGAACATCGACAATTCTGTTGGAACAGGGAGGCTGCTCAGGTGTTCCCAGGATGCTGAAACTCCTCACCTCTACCATCTGCTCTCATGGCCAGTTAATGGACTATGAGGATCTTTAAGTGTTTGTATTAAAAAGTTGAAGGGGAAAGAAAGGTTAGCTTCCTGTGCTGTCTCCCTAGAAACTAAATGCTATCTGCTGTCTCCCTCTCCCCTTCACACCTGGACTCAGGTCTACTATGTCATCTGCAGAATGCCTCCCACCCCACCCAATCACAACAGTGCCTGCAATTCATGTCTTTCAGTAAATAATTACCTTCTCTGTTTCTCACCTCCTTCAAAACACAAATACACACAACAAGGCAAAGGAAAATGAGTCTATAATACCAGAGTGTGCATAAGTGAATTAGATTAATGAGCTTTTCTTCCTTCCCCAGAGGGAAAAAGAACAGAGTGAAGATGTAGTGGGAGAGCAAGTGGTCCGTGGTTAAAAAGGTCAGGCTTGAAGGACTTTACTATTTCATAACTCTGTGATCTTGTACAAACTCCTTCATCTGTAAACTAAGGTTAATTATTAACTTCATTGGATTATAAGGTTGGACTCATTGGACTACTATTTTATGAGAATCCTTGGATTCCTATAAAAATTAAATAAGATGATGCAGGAAAAAGTAACTGATACAGGATTGTTGCTATTTGTTTCTCCTTGCATTCACACTCCATGAGAGCTTTGGGAGCCTGAAGGTGACTTCTTAGAAGAAAAGGATCCTGAAAGGCTACAGAAAGGTATTTTAAAAAAAAAATTGTATTTTTGTAATACTTGTAGTAGAAGTATGTATTAATCAGGGCAGGCTCACTACTGTAACAAAAAAACTACGAAGTATCAAAAGATCAACATAATAAAAGCTCATTTCTTGCTCATGCCACAGTAAGATCCTATTCAGGTTTCTGCTCCACAGCCATTCAGGACCCAGGCCCTTCCAAGGAATCTACCACATCTATCCAGCAGGCAAAGGAAGAGAGAGGACAAGGAGGATTATGTAGAAGGTTTTCTTAATGACCATGCTTCAGGCTGGAAGTGGCATAAATTCCACCCTCATTCTTTTGGCCCCACCCGACTGCAAGGGAGGCTGGGAAATGTAGCTGATTGGGTTTCCCAGCAGCAAAAAGAAGGAGGTTTGGTGAACACAGGGTACAGACAGAAGGCTTTGGAGAGCTAGAAGTCCTGGAGAACAAATAAAGTTCATCTAATCTGAATAACTTTGCTATTGGAAAGCTGGAAGTAGTTCAAAGCTTGTTGCACTGTAGAAAAAGACAAAGACAATGACGAGAAGCGAGAGCGAGTCTATTAGCCCAAGAGACTGGCAGTTGGTGCTGTAGAGTTGTAGATGAGTTTCCCCTTCAGATCCCATGCTCCACCTATGGGATGAGACTCAGTTTCCCTGGTTTGGGACCACATCACTTTAATTACCTCCTACACCTCTAATGTACATTTTCATTCTTTTATGGTTTGTTCTTATAGAGAGACTGATAAGTACTCTGTAAATATAAAGTTTTCTATCATCGCTAAGTAAATATTCATTTGGGGGGATTCATTGGAAAGGGTTAACTGAAATTGCAAATCCAAATTAAACCAAAGAAAAAAGCTTTAAAATTACACATCTTGCATAGACCAACTCATATTTAACTAAGTCTTCTTCAAATATAAATGCTATTGCTAAGATTATCAAGCCAATTGAAGACTTTTCACTATATGAAATTTTAGACTCATTGTCAATCAAAATAAATTCAAACTCTATATATAAATACAAAGTTTCCATGTATATATTTAATTATTCTGTAGAGTAATTACTCCTTTCTTGACCCTGTAACCTTGTTCATCTACTACTCCATTTTCCTGCTTTCCTTTATAGCAACTCCAGAGAGCTGCCTATGCTTGCCATCTCTGTCTTCTCCTCCACTTCTTTCCTCCTTCCCCCTCCTTCCATGGAAACAAATCATGGTGAGTCCACCAGAGACGATCACATTCCCAAACCCAAGAATCAATTTACAACTCTCTTCTTATTTGACAAATTAATCACTCCCTCTTTCTGGAAACACTTTCTTTACTCAGCTTCCAGCACACCACACTCTCTTGGTTCTTCTGCTTCACTGATCTTTTCTCATTTTCCTTTGCTTGTTTCTCCTCATCCTCCTGACCGCTAAATATGAGAGTGCCCCCAGAACTCAGGACTCTTTTTCTTCTTTATTTACAGTCTCTTTCTATGTGATCACATCTAGACATATCATTAAATATCATTCCTATAATCTGAATGCGTCCCTCAAAATTTGTGTGCTGGAAATTTAATCCCCAATGCAACAGTGCTGAAAGGTGGGGCCTTTTAGGAGGTGTTTAGGTCACAAGGGCTCTGCCAACATGAATGGATTAATGCTGCTATAAACAGGACTTGAGGAAGTGGATTTGCTCATTCTTGCCCTTTCACCTTCTGCCTTCCTCCATGTAAGAATACACCAAGAACGCCCCCATCAGATGCTGGCACCTTGGTCTTGTACATCCCAGCCTCTAGAACTGTGTGAAATAGATTTCTGCTCTTTGTAAATTACCCAGTCTCAGGTATTCTGCTAAAGCAGCACAAAACGGACAAAAACAATCATCTATAGAACAGCAAGTCCCAAATTGATATCTCCAGACAGGATATCTGCAGTCCTTAAACTCAGACTCATATGGGCAACCTCCTACTATACCTCTAGTTTAATGAATATTTCAATTTTAACACAGTCAAACCCAAACCTCTGATTCCCCATTCTTCTCCAAACTCGCACTTCCCTCAGTCTTCCCCATCTCAGTAAATGCCAAGTGTATTCTTCCAATTGCTTAAGCCAAAGACCTTAGACCATCTTTGATCTCTCTCTCTCTCTCTCATACCCCACATAAAATCTGTTAGCAATTTCTGTCTTTATCTGCAAAATATTTTCAGAATCTGGCCACATCTCACCAACTCCACTATTCCATCTGAGTTTCATCTCTCATTAAACCTCTCCTGGGTATTTGTAAAAGCCTCCTCATTTGACCACCGCACTTACTCCACGGCAATCTATTCTCCATACAGCAGACCAAGTAAAGCTGTAAACTGGATCATATTACTTCCCTCTGAAAACCTCCTTCGTGACTAAACAAAAGCCCAAATTCTTGACTGCCTTCAAGACCCTAGACAGTCTGATTCCCCAACTACATCTCTGCTCTCTTCTACCACTTTCATCTTCGTCCATCTCACTGCAGCCACTCTGCTCAAA